TGCGTGTCCCTCTTTTTTTTTTTTTTTTGAGAGGAACTTTTGCTATAGGGTGCATGTACTCGTCGGAGAGAGAGAAAGTGAGAAATCACTTCTGAGGGTGATGGCCATGCCACTGTCCCTTCTCCTCCATTCTCCTCTTGGGATTTTGGGCACACACAGACATGTGCCTGGTGTGAGTTTAAAGTCGCTGGGACTTTAGCCATGGTTGACTATGTGAGAGTCCAGCTATGTAACCATCATGCCATCTGCTGGTCCTTAACCACTAGGCCATGGGGTTGGCCCAACCCTGACTTTAAGTACGACCTACAATGAGTAAAATTCTCTCTCTTCCTCATTGATTGGGTAGATTACTGGTCTAGCCGCTTCTCACTTAACGACTTACCCGTTTAATGACCACACGGACTCCCAACCAGTTCTCTAGTGAGGAGTCTTCTTTCTCAGCCTGCGCAAGTCTCAGGATTGCCCTTCCTCACTCTTCGTCTTGTTCCTGCGGCCAGTTACTCTTCACTGAGTGAAACATTTGCAATCACGTAGGACTGCCTATTTCGTTTATAAATCTGTACTTTATCGTGCACCCGTAGTGGCATTCAGAATGAATAACAACGATTCCTTCGGATTTATATTATGGTGTGTGGTGTGTCTTGTTGCTTTCTGGTGCTTACCTAATGTATGCTTTTTATACGGATAGAGTTGCATTATTCTTGTTGCTTTCTGGTGCTTACCTAATGTATGCTTTTTATACGGGTAGAGTTGCATTATTCTAGTGTCACCTGATATCTATTGAAAGATACATACCTGGGGCCAGCAGATAGTGTAATGGTTATGTCATTGGACTCCCACGTAGTCAACTGTAGTTCAAGTCCCGGACTGAGTGTCTTCAATCTCACGTGGGGCGCATGTGCGTGCATGAACAAGATCTTAAGGGAGAATGGAGAAGGGATTGCTACGTGGTCATTCCCCATGGGGGTGATTTCTCACTTTCTGTCTTGCTCTATCTCTCTGACAAATGCATGGGCCCCATAGCAAAAATTCTTCCCCCCAAAAAAGAAGGATACATGTCCTATGGTGCCAGGACACATCGTAAGACTTTAAGAACCTATCAGTCAGCCAATTTGCTTAACAGCCTCGTCAGAGGAACGGAACTTGGTCATTAAATGATGTATCACTTTTATTATTTTTCTCTAAAGACTTGCTTTCTGCTTCTTCTTTCTTTCTCTCTTTCTTTTTTTCTTTTTTTAAAGAGATTTTTGCTATAGGGTGCATGTGCTTGCTGGAGAGACAGAGAGAGACAGAAAGTGAGAAGTCATCCCTCCTCTAGGGGGGATGACCACGGGGCAATCCCTTCTCCTCCATTCTCCTTGCAGGATTTTGGGCACGCACGCACACATGTCTGGTGTGGGTTTAAACTCGCCTGGTCCGAGACTTGAACCATGGCTGGCTACGTGGGAGTCCAGTGACATAACCATTACACCATCTGCTTGTCTCTCTTTCTTTTTTTTCTTTAAAATTAAGTCACTATTTTTTTTCAACAGATTCTTTGAAATAACTATGATGGATTTATTCCCCCATTTTGGAGTCATGCAAACTGAGCCCTGTGCCCTGGTGAAAAATGAAAATGAATAGTATAAACTGGGTCAGGTGTTTGTTGATTTAACAGGAGCACAGAGGAAACTTTATTTATTTAGTTAGTTAGTTATTTTAATGTGTGTGGGGGTCCTTTATGAACTTGCATTTACGTTTTTTGTTCACGAAGGTCCTGATCAATGGGCTGAGTATGGATGATCACTGTATTATTCACCTGATATTAATCACATCACTGAAAATGACCAGTAAATTGTCTTAGATAATTCACGTTACTGTAAATACTTTGAATGGCCCTTCCCTGCCCTGGAACAGAATTCTCCTCCTATCTAATAAATGTGGAGCTCTCTTTTAACCCCTTGGGGACCCCATCAGTTATCTTGAACTACACCTCCCGTCGCACAACGGGAAACCAGCAGTTATCCTGCGTGATCCGACGGCACAGCGAACCAATCAAATGGCAGCGCTCTCACCTAGCTACCTATTGGCTCCGAGTAGAGGCGGGACTCTCAGTTGCTAGGTCGGCACTCTTT